ATCAGACCAGTGGTCCATCTAGTCCAGCATCCTGTCTCACACAGTGGCCAACCAGCTCCTCTGCAGGGCCAACAACAGGCCATAGAGGCTGAGGCCTTCATTAGAACATAAGAAGAGCCCTGCTGGATCAGGCCAGTGGTCCATCTAGTCCAGTATTCTGTCTCACACAGTGGCCAACCAGTTCCCTCTGGACAGCAAATAACAAGGCATAGAGGCTGAGGCCTTCCCCTGATGTTGCCTCCTGGCTCTGGGATTCAGAGGTTTAGTACTTTTGAATGTGGAGGTTCCCAAAAGTCACCGTGGCTAGTATCCACTGATAGATCTATCCTCCATGAATCTATCTAATCCCCCTTTACAGATGTTTATTCCTGTGGCCATCATCTACCCTTTTAGTGCTAAATTTTACACGTGACTTTCATATCTTATCTAGAACCTTTTTTGGTGGCCAGCCCGTATTTCCAATGCCTGAAATTACTGCGCTCAAACAGGAAGTAATTGTATTAGGCACAAGAGCAGGGATATTTGTAGAGTACAGGTTTTCAAGATCAGGTCTGTATAATTGCAAGAAAAACAGCAGAAGACTTGAAAAAAGGATTTACTAATTTATTTTTAGGGGAAAAGGGGGGGGGACCCCGCTTGTTCAAATTATCTAATTTAAACTCACTGAACAGAATCAAACATGTTCACATTTTTAATAATGTTTACAGTTTGGATACAGAGAGAGGATTGCCCTCCCAGAAGCCAGTGGGATATTCATTACGATGTCAAAGCTACAAACTCCATTAGGCATTCCTAAGCCGAATGAAATCACACCTCTGCTGGATCGTGGCCATGGGGATTAACAGAGAGAAATCTGATTTCACGTTCTCTTATGTACAGCATAATTCAAAGCATTTGATCATCATATTTACAAACAAGGTTTAATTTTCATACATATTAACAAGAACGAGTAATTGGGGTTCACACTGCTGGTTTTGTGTCAACAGCATTTGATAGAATTATTAGAAGATCTATGAACATCATTCTACAGCTGTAATCAGAAGGTTTTTTTAAAAAAACCATGATTTATGAACACTGACTCTGTGAGAGATGTATCTGGGAATGGCAGTATCAGTTCATACCCACCACAGAATCAGCTCCCATTCACAGTCCATGTACAGCATCCACCTGATTCAAGTCAAGATACAGAGTTAACTTTGATCCTATGCATCCTTGGGGCCTAATTCAAGCATTACACTTTAAAATCTGCGGACAGTGTCCCAAGAGTGTAAGGCAAAACGGAGGTCCCAGTTTGATGAGCGGCGGAGACACACAGACGATTAAATGTTCAGCTCTACCTTGGATAAACATTGAATTAGGCTTCTCCATCCGTTCCCGGTTCTTCTTTTTTTAGATTTATTGCGGTTTTGGGAAAACCCAGCTGTTTATAACGTAGATGTGGTCAAGTATTCATATTGCCATTTAAATTTGGGATTCTTTGTGTGTCTATAAATTCAAACTTTAAAGTGTTATTTGACAAGTTTGTTACTGCAGGCTCATGGTGGGGAAACTATTTAAGTTCAGTAAACTCATTAGCTATGTACATACTCAGCATATTACTGAAAATCTGTAATGTCCCAACGTTCTTTTGTGTATGTTTATTCCATGCTACGTAGAAAAACTCTCTCTTTGCATTGGAACTTGGGGAGTTGTTCTGGTAGTAAAAGTATGCTCTTCCCATGAAGGGAGCCTTCCTCTGATGCAAGATAGGCTTGCCAAGTCCCCCCGGGGGGGGGCGGGGAAACCCCTGCCCCAGAAGCCCGTTCCCTACCGCCGGCGGATCGGGCCCCAGGGGGAGCCCCACCCTGACGTGCGGGTCACCCGGAAGTGACGCGACCACGCCAGGCACACTTGGGGTGGGGCCACGGTCATCCGAGGGAAGACTCTATGTTTTTCCCTCGGATGGCCATGGCCCCGCCCCCAGTGTGCCTGGTGTCGTCACGTCACTTCTGGGTGACGTGCGTGTGGCGCGCGCTATGCGCACGCTCCAGACACCAGATGGGAGTCCCCCGCTCGGGAGGAATTTACACTTGGCAACCCTAATACAAGATGAGCATCCCATGTTGAGGAAGGCTCCTCCCAGTCCCACTGAGCTCCTCCCACTGGGCCCTCTGCTAGAAAAATGGCTCTGTGGGATACGAACCTTTTCCTCTTCATTCTACAAAGCTCTTTTGCTGCCTTGATGGGCCCTGTGGATACCAGGCTTAGGGCCACCTTCTTGTCTCCTTCCGGAGTTACGTGCTGTGGCTCACGACCACGGTCACGTCGTTTATGCCACAGCTGGCTTTGTGTCATGCGAAAACACAGGAATGGGACCGTGCCCAGGAAATGGGTGTGAAATAACAGCAGAAACTGGACACGTGGCTTGCCAGTAGCTTCAAAAGAAACCCACGTGTACGCATAAGACACGGAAGTGGGCGTATGTAAACTCGATCCTCCGAAACAGTGGTGGGCGTTTTAAATCCCTTCTTGCTAGATGCCAAGCTAATTAAAGGAAGGCGGTTTATGGATCTGAGATTTCAAAAGAACTCTGTTCCCGGGGCTATTCAGCAAATCGGATGATAAAAGCTGCAAGTTCAGCCTCGTATTCACAAACATATGCATACACACAAATGTAAAGATGGCAATTCATACAATTCACTAGAAAGAAGAAACAGAAAATTGATTCAGGAGTCCTATTTCTTTCTGGGCTGCTGGCATTCTTACATTTCAACTGTTACGAATTTTTCAGACATAAACGGAAAGAGCCCCCTGGGTCCACGAATGCAACCGGGAAAGTGGCCCACGGAACCTATGGTCAGCCGGGGATTAACCTCAATTTTATGGAGCTGAGGTTGATTCTCGTGTCAATTGTTATCTACCAAAGTCGACAGAGTTTGCATTTTCCCAGTCATTTTGAGAAGATGGAGTTTCTTTTGCGTGCTCCAATACGTTGTCTGAATCACAATTTATCATATTTCTTTTTAAACCTTCAAAAAGCAGAATGTGTCACCTGGAAACATACCTAGTTGAGGAAATATTGCAGGGACGTACACACTGCAAAAATATGGTCTGGAACTCCTTTGCATATTAGGCCACACACCCCTAATGTAGCCAATCCTCCAAGAGCTTACAGAGCTCTTCTTACAGGGGCAACCGTAAGCTCTTGGAGGATTGGCTACATTAGGGGTGTGTCGCTTAATATGCAAATGAGTACCTGCTACAAAAAGAGCCCTCTGTTCTTCCTCCTCTGTTCTTCTTCCTCAAAGGCAGTGTTCTGAGATATCTGCAGGGGCTAGCCTCTACTGACTGTGAGATTCCTGCGTGTCTTCTTTTGGTGAACCTTCACTAGTGTGAGCAGATGCCCATCTCATTCTTTAAAGAGAGCTGGACAAAGTAAGGATTTCAGCAGAATGCCCAAGACAACAGTAATCACGGGTGCGAGTCCAAGATGGGTAGCAGCACTTCTAGTGGAGAAAAAGCTCGACATGTGGCCAGCCGGACAAACGGAGCCCACCAAATACCGCTTGATCTCTGTTGTTTCTGTAAGTTCTTTGCGTTCATATACGTTGCCTCAAAGGGGCAGCCATGGCACACCAAGAGACACATCATCCTGTAGCATGTGCGTGAATCTAGAACACTGTGCTCAAGCTAATTTTTTTTTAAATCATTTTTATATTTCTGAAATTACTGCCGTCGCTTGCGAAGAGGAAAAAAGGGAGACTGTAATACTTTACGCGTAGAATGGATTAAAAATGTCCTTTCCCTCCAATATACGTGTCTAAAATATGCCCTAACCATACAGCACCAGAATGCTATATTGGGAAGTGATGGCAGCTTTTGACTCGTGTTCCCTAATGAAAATCGGGAGTGCAGGGGAGGGCTGCCGCCAATTCAGGATGTGAAATCATGATGTCACAGAGTACACACAATCTAACTCCCGCCATCTTGTGTTTTTGACAGTAGTAACAAAGCAAACACAGTTCCTCATGGAAGGTTAGATGCTGAACACCAGAAAGAGGGGGAAAGTCAGGTAGAAAGGGGCACTGAAGAATGGATTCCCCTGGATGGGTGGAGGGCGGCTTTCTTTCGGAAGGACTGGGAGCTGATCAGCATGAAGCAGATCCCAAATGGAAGCTGTGAATACGTGTCTCCATCTGGGAGCCTTGCTAGCCGGTCATTACAATTGTCCTTCTAAGCCTATGGGAGAGGTAGGACAATGTAGGGGGGGGGGCACACCTGGCTCTTAGCAGCTCTTCGGACAGACATCAAGTTGCTTAATAAATCTGTCGGGAAATGTGTCCCCAAAATTACTAAAAACTCAAGGGCCATTGTATGCAGCAGGATGGGGGGAGAGAGAAACCGCCCTGGGTCTCTGCTTGCTTTCGAGGGAGAGCTGGATGTGGGAATTTCTGGGTTGCAGTGTTGGGAGAAAGACCCAGCATCCAATGCAGAGCCTTCAAAAGCAGGTGGAGACCTGGATGTGGCCTGCAGGCTGAACATTTCGCCTGCCCCTGGTCTGAGGCCTTCTTAAAGTGCATGCAAATAAAATAGCAACAAAGATACAAGAAGTGGCCTTAACAGGGCTTGGTTTGGGGTCACCACCCATCACGTTTTGGTTTTCTGCCCAAAAGATACCACAGAAACACTTATTATTCCTAAAGGAACTGGGTGTGGTCATCTGCGAGTACAGATTTGCAGGCAGTGACTTCAGGGGCTGCTTATGAGAAGTTTTTGAAAGTATTTTAAAAAAGGAATTCATTCTTCAGCCGAAGCTGTGTAGGGCTCAGTATGTACCAAGAGCTTCTCCTGCCCAAAAGCCACCAGTCCCATCAACAAGAGCCCACACATCTGCTAAATCCTCAAAAGATGACAGACTAGCCGCTGCAACAGGCCCTGCTAAGCTTTTCCACTCTACATACACTGGAAAATAAAATGTGTTTTGACTTGGTGTTACTGGAAGTCTCACCTCCTTTGGGCGCTGTAGCTAGATCTTCTGTGCAGACGGTTCGTCCTCCACTGCCTGCGCCTCCACGGCCTCCATGTCTTCCTGCACATATACGATAAGCTCTGAGGCTTCTCCTCCCTGGGTATAGACAGTCACTGTCCCGATCCCTTCCACCTCGTTGGAGATGACCAGATGATGCTCTACTGGAGCCTCCTGCAACTCTACTGAAGCCTCCTGCAACGTTTCCTGGATCATGACCGTGTGGTTGGCAGCTGGCTACTCTTCCGTGACCTAAGAAGGAAATTAAAAGGCTCGTGAACTTCTGCTTCTGACGGTGGGGCCACATTATATCTGAATTAAGGGCAAGGAAACAGAAGGAGAAATTCCGACAGCCTCCGTTTCATAAATTAAGGGCCCTTCGGGAGAGAGAACAGCATATGCTTCGATTAACAGCAGAATGGGACTGCACAACTCAGCATTAGGGATGGGCACAAACTGGCTCGCAAACTAAAGTCTGTGAGGGATTTTGGCCGCTTTGTGGTTCGTGAGCTGAAGTTCGTGGCAGGTCAATCAGCACGGACTTTCCATGAACTTTCAAGTGGTTCGTAAATGGATACATTTCCAAATAGAATGTCTCGGCTCAATCAAACTTCAAAGCAAGAGCAGGTGGCGGGGTGAGGTCCCCTTTGTGCTTGGTGTGTGTACCTTGCAGGGGGTCCATTCTATAAACTTTTGAACCTGCACCTGACATTTTCCCCCAAAGCACTTTCCTAGAGGCATCTTTTTTTTTGGGGGGGGGGCATAACTCAGTCCCCCTAAATTCAATCTGCACATATCTTGGAGGGCATGTAGAGGAGCATCAGGGGAGGTCCCCTGCAAGCTTGATGTCTTTAGCTTGCACAGGGTCCATTCTATACACTCCTGAACCTCCTAAACCTGTGCCTGTCATTTCCCCAGGAAGCACTTTCCTGGGGACACCTTATTTGGAGGTCTGCAACTCGGACTCTGTAAATCCAATCCTTACTAAACTTGGAGAGCAGGTAGAAGAAAGTCAGCTGGAGATCCCCAGAGAGTTCGGTGTCTCTAGCACAACAGAGGGGCATCCTACCATGCTACTAACCTCACCAGTTTGTTTGACGCCTAAAAGTTCATGGTGGTTCGTGGCTCACAAATCGGGCATGCCACGAACCACATACCAAAACGAATCGTGTTTTCCTGGTTCATGCCCATCCCTATTCAACATCCTGTGTTCATGTGCTTGCAAAAGGAGGTCCAATGTAACCATGTGATCAGAATCAAGCAGTTTTTTCATGGCTGTCCTGGACTCCCATTGCTGACTATGGAATATGAAAGCCCAGCTGATCTTAGCGGATAACAGAGGGCACCTGTTTCCATTGGACAGACATCATGAGCAGAAGTCTGTGGGTGTCCTCTGAAAAAGAAGTTCACTTGGAAAAGACAATAATGCTAGGCAAAGTGGAAGGCAGCAGGAAAAGAGAAGACCCAACATGAGATGAATTGACTCAGTCAAGGAAGCCACGGGCCTCAGTCTCTAAGACTTGAGCACGGCTGTGAAGGATAGGACGTTTTGGAGGTCATTGATGCACAGAGTTGCCATAAGTCAGAAATGACTTGACGGCACTTCACACACACACACACACACACACACACACACACACACACACACACACACACCACATACATTTGTTTTTTGGTTTTTTTAACACGATTTTTATTAGAGCGATATCACATTTAACAATAAAGATATTAAATTTGTCTCGTACCCCTTTTATTTTCCTTCCCCCCTCCCCTTCTTCTGGCTTCCCGCAGTGATCCCACCCCCTCCCTTTCCAAAATTTCTACATAATCTTCTTATCACTAACAAAAACAAATTCTAAACTTTAATATACTGGTAATTGGTGTTTGTTGGTTTAATTTGTTGCCAAATGTTTGGAAGTCTGAAGAGTTTATATTAGCCAAATATTTTAAGCAAGTCATGAAAAAATTGGGAGGGGGGGGAGTCACTGGGCATTATCAGCCTTGCCAACAGTTCTCCTTGTTGTGAGCTCTTCAAATTCTCTGTGGATGGAAGAGAGTGGCAACCGTTAGGAAGAGAGGGGATGGAAAAGTGCAGCAGCCGTGGATAATAGACGGCGCAGAAGGTAGGATGATCTTTTCTCATCAGCCTTTCCTTGTCTCATCAGCAGTTCCTTCTCTCACCGGGGGCACTGGAACGTGTCCCCAGCACAGGGCTAGCTTCCTGCCCAAGTCACCTGGGTGACTGCTTGGGGCAGCACAATAAGGAGGGCACTATGAAAAGAGGAGGGGCAGTGGCTCAGAGGTAGAGCCTCTGCTTGGCGTGCAGAAGCTCCCATGTTCAATCCTCTGCATCTCCAGTTAAAGAATTTCAGGTAGTGGGTGATGTGAAAGACCAGTTCCTGAGACCATGGAGAGCCACTGCAAGTCTAAGTAGACAATACTGACCTCGATGGACCAAGGGTCTGATTCAATAAAAGGCAGCTTCATGTGTCCACTGAGCCATTGCAGCAGCTCAGCTTTATTTATTTAGTGCATTTTTACCCCATCCTCAGAGCGGGATAGATCCCTGCCTCCTGTTTATCCTCACAACAAACCTGTGAGGCAGATGAGGGCATTACCCAGTGAGTTACGCAGAAAGGGAAGATCTGAGACGGTGCGCACCAGGTCCTATTCCTAGTCCAACACTCTAACCAATGTTCCCTCTAAGCGGAGTTGGTGTGAGCTAGCCCACAGTTTCTTAGCTTCTGGCTCACACATTTTTTGTCTTAGCTCAGGAAGGATGGCTCCAGAGCAAACTATTTTATGCAGTAGCCAAATCGCTCGCTCACAACTTTAATGCCAGTAGCTCACAAAGTAGAATTTTTGCTCACAGGACTCCACACCTTAGAGGGAGCATTGACTCTAACCACTGTGCCACACTGGCCATTGGTGGCATGGAGGGGCACCGAGCTTGGCTTAGACCTGGGTAGCAGTAGCATGGGAGGAGGCAGCAGGTGTGGAAGAGACCTACACTCAAGGGCTCGCTTGGAGGAATCTTTATTCGCCCCAAGTAAGCAGCGAACAGCAGGGCTTTTTAAATCCATTATCAGTCCACAATTGCCTGTCTGAAACAGAATAACAACTGTGTACTGCACAAACCCGCACCAAAGTTAACATAAAGAGACTTCAACACAAAGGTAATTCAACACATGCAATCCGTCAAATAAGTTTCTGGAAGAAAAAAAAACCCAGGAATTTTTCACTTGACGGGCATTTTCCGGTTCTAAAGTTAAAAACGCAATGGCATGTTACTCTCAAACAGGGGTCATTTCGTAGAAAAAGAGCTAGGGGAACTCATTAGCATAACTCATTAGCATATGCCACACCCCCTGACATCAGGGGTCCAGCGGTGGACCTGCAAGGCCTACATGTGTTGAATTACCTTTGTGTTGAAGTCTCTTTATGTTAATTTTGGTGCGGGTTTGTGCAGTACACAGTTGTTATTTGCTGGTTTTTTGGCCATTGTTTACTGTGTTTATTGTTGTTGTTGTCTGAAACAGAATGCCAAATAAGTTTCTGGAAGGAAAAAAAAACAAGGAAATTTTTCACTTGACGGGCGTTTTCCGATTCTAAAGTAAAAACGCAATGGCATGTTACTCTCGAATCCTTTCCCACAGAAACCAGAGTTGTTGGACGTGTTCTGTTAAGATGGGGGTGGGAAAATAAGATATAGTGTAAGTTGAGCACCAACTTACTTTGCTTGTAGTTTATACATACAAACTAGATGTAAGCTGAACAGATATATAGCTGATAATAATAAGCAGAACAGAAAAAAAACTTAAGACAGATAAGCCTCAATATACTAGTTTAAGTTTAATGGCTTACAATACTTTAAACATTAGAAGATAAGTGAAATGACAGTGTCTAAAGCTATGGAGGGAGAAAAACCTCAAGAAGAATGGTAGAGTAATAATCTTTCCAAGTCCATAGTAAAAGAAATATCAATGTCTAGATGATTGTGACTCGCCAAAACAATGGTTTTGGCCTGTAATAATCAGAGAAAAAGTGTTTAATGTAATGATTTCCTTCCAACTTATGAATCCTGTAATTGTTTTTTGTGCTTGGAAAATAACAATAAAAAGAAAATAATAATAAAAAGATGGGGGTGGGAAATGTCAGATCCCCCAACAATTTGCAACTTCCACAGCACCTGTAAACTACCCCAGCTAAGTCCATCTACTTATTGTCTACTTAGAGTAGCAGCAGCTCTCCAGGGCCTCAAGCAGAGGTCTTTCACATCACCTACTGCTGGATCTTTTAACTGGGGATACTGGGGATTGAACCTGGGACCTTCTGAATGCCAAGCCGATGCTCTGCCACTGAGCCACAGCCACAGCCCATACTCAAATATCCCACATTCTAAGGCTCCCTTCATTTGCAGCAAGCGTGCTTTCTGAAATAGTAATAGCAAAGGAGGGGACGGGGGTTGGGGAGTGAGCAGCAATCGTCGCTTTTTTGGAGAAAAGAAGAATGCAATTGTTCTGTGCCAAAAGGGCTGTTATATGACACAGCTGTGCTGAACAGAAGGCCATTTTATGGGCACGTTGATCAGTATACTCCAAGCTAGCTGTGCCATTTAATTGATTTAAGTTGGCTTCTTCCCTTGCTCTGAGAATGAATAGTTTTTATTCCATTTTTGTTGTTGTTGTTGTTTAATTTAATCTGAAGGAGGAGGGAAGGGGGGAGGGACATGGGGAACTGGAGCTTTGGAAAGAAAAATCTAACGCAGCATGTCACAGTGACAGAAAGTAAACCGCTAAGCATTGCAGGCGATCCATTTCCTTGCACTTTGGTCAACTAGGTTTGGATGCTATGGGTGGGATTGTGTCGATCTGTTCCACTAGCAGCAGGAGCCTTCCCCTGATGGAAGATGCTTAGATAGGTAACCAAATGGAAATATATGTGATGGAAAGCACTGTCACATCACAGCCAACTTATCGTGTCCCTGTAGGGTTTTCAAGGCAGGAGACATTTAGAGGTGGCTTGCCACTGCACACCTATGGGTAGCGACCTTGGGCTTCCTTGGTGGTCTCCCATCCAAGTACTAACAAGGGCCGTCTTTCCTTAACTTCCAAAATCTGACAAGATCAGGCTGGCCTGGGCCACCCAGGTCAGGGCAGAGAAAAACAAAGGCGGGTTTGCTATTCCCTGCCTCTTGGGCTTCCTTGGCGGTCTCCCATCCAAATACTAACCAGGGCCGACCCTGCTTAGCT